CGCCGGGCTTTTGCTATGTGTTTTAGTCAAAGAAAACATTACCTTGGCCACACTGTGAGCGTCGAACGTGGTCTGTCCTCCTCCATTTCAGATTACCTTTCAAACTCGACGGGCGGGTGGATTCTCGACGGTACAACACATCACGATTTCCTTTCTCTTATTTCTTTCAGAAAATTTTTTTTTATATATACCTCTTTCTTTCAAGTTACGAATTTTTTTTTACCTTTCAATTGTTTCTTCCTTTTTTTTTCTCTTTCTTCTTTATCTTTTCTTCTTTGCTCTTTCTATAATTTTCATAACTTAATTAGGCTCTTACTTCTCCCCTTACTCAAGTTTTTTTATAGGGGGGGAGAATGTAATGATGCATATATATACATCATCACAACATTACATTAAGTACACATATCATACATACCTAGCCCTTAGACTTAGACTTAGTAGTTTTTCATATATCCATCGAGTGCCACGCTTACGGAATGGCTCCTTAGGGAACTTGAGACTGATCTTGTATTCTATTCCTTTGGAGCCAGGTTAGCAAACTCATTTCTCTTATTTCTAATTATATCAATTTCTCTTATTACACAACTTATATTGTTTAGTCCCGTTAGAGGGAACTCGAGACTGATCTCGTATTCTATTCCTTTGGAGCCAGCTTCTAGAAATAATTCAATCATATCTACTTTGGTTCTAGAAGCATAAAGTCCCTTGTGGCATCAGACCCTCAGTTCCCTCCGTGAGACTCCTTCGAAGTGAGGACATCTTAAGTCCTTTACAAATAGACACGCAGGACCAAAACGTTTGATGGCATCACATAAATGTATCAACATGTGAAACTTTGGCTTATTGGACCATTGTGCTGAGAGGTGAATAATGCATCGCAGGAAAACGTGTATATGAATTTCCAGTTTCTTGCAAAAGGTGGCCATGTCCGATATCTCGGTCTGAAATATATACGGCGCCAAATGGGCCAAAGATGTCCAGGCGTCCCGTTCAGCATCAGATAACGAAGAGCATTGGAAAAAAATGAAAGGAGCGGATTGTAGGACTGTGCGGAATTCCTTCCCAGTCAAGCTAAGAAAATGATTGATCATTGACTTAGGCTGAATGGGAGGAATGTTTAATCCAGATATGTTCATTGACCGCCATCGTCCCCAAATATCGTTTCTTTCTGCAACGGTGCAGTTCTGCATCTGGTGGCGTAGCAGGTATTTTGCAATACCCAACAACAGCACGTGCAAGATCTCCACTGGATTATCTATATGGCCATCGAATCCTGTATAAATTGGTCAGAGACAACAAGTCAGTGAGGGTGAGGCAGTTATGATAAGAGTTGACCACACTCACCTTTCAAACGCAGGAATGGGTTGAACAAACGTTCTCCAAATTTTTTGTTGAGGTCTTCACACATCTCAGCCACGGTTTCCTTTGGCAAACTCGGATCACGATGATAGTCTTGGACCTCCTTCACAAACGGCATGTTGGAGGTGTCACGTGTACCAGACTTTGCTGACTCAGCATCGAACGCCCCAATCGTCCCCGGACGTTGGGCCAATTTCCAAAGATCTTCGGTGTTCTTTTTTGTTGTAGGCCAGCTGCGTCTTGGTAGAGACAGCTGAACAGGACATAAAAATCATTATAATCAGTCATTGATGTTGTTTTGCGGTATCGTCAAGAATAGATGTAATTGATTGTTACCTTGTTTCCTCTTTCGTCAACACCCACAAAGTTACTGACATACTTTAAAGTCCTTTTCTCCGCCAGGGTCTTTACTTTTAGGTCGCAGACACGACACGGGCTCAGCGAAACCGTAGGATTCATTGTATTAGATACCTCGGCATGCATTGGTGAGTCGCCTAGATGGCAGAGTACTACCGGCATCACAAGGACCTCTTTTTGTGTCAGATGATCATAAGCCACAAAACCATTTGTGGAGAGCTCACTGCAATAAAGGTAATATGTCAGGATTAAAATAGAACACGATCAGATTCCAGGATGAGAATGCCAAATTAATTGAGATAAATGGACATACTTGAGTTCATCAACCAACGGGTCAGCAAGCTCTAAAGCGCCGGCTGAGTTTGAAGTTGTCACGAAGTGACAGTTATATTCCTGATTTGAGAGCTTAGGAGGCAATCCAGCCAAAGTGAAGTAGAAAGCAATATGCTTATTCCATCGCTTTGATATGTTGCCCGACAGGTCGTCGCAGTAAAGAACCAATGGTGTATGGCGAATGACTTTTCCTTTGGCCTTTTCGCGCCACGGATTTTGTGAAGGTAATTGGATGAAGTTCCCAGCGCCGACGTCCTCTGTTTTATATGTGAGTTAATGTGGCAACGTTCAAGAGAGTTAATATGACAAATCTCTCACCATAAATAAAATTACCACAATATGTTTTCATGAAGACATCCTTGCGCAATTCAATTGCGTCGAATGCTCTCCAGAAATCTCTGACGTTGAATGAAGTGGCTACAGCTGAATTAAAGTCTGAAACTGATTCAAATTGGACTTGAATCTGTGGTTGGCCTTGGGAATCCTTTCGGTAAACTTGACGAGTTGGTACACATTTTGCAAGAATCTGTCTGCCTTCTTGATAAAAAAAAATCGGAACGACAATGCGCTTGGATTGTAATTGAACTGGTTCAAATAAATAAAAATGACCATTGGCGGAATCCACCATCTGGACCCTTATATCACGATCAAGCTCTTCCCTCCATTTTTTTGACTGGGCGAATTGGTTCACTTTGTCTGTCACACTTGGCAATTCGGGTATGAATTGCAGATGTTCGGCAACAAATGGATTGCTTAATTCCTGCAAAGTAAGGTTGCTTAATAGTATCATAAATTAGAAATGATAATATGAACCTGCGACTGAACTTGACTCAAAATCTGCTTCACTTTGAGTCCGAACATGGGTTTTCCCAATGGACTTGTGGTTTCGGCAACGTCAAAGTTGTACAGCTTCTTCAGCTTTTTGCGAGCCATTTGAAGAGACTTATATCCGGGAAGTTTCACGTCCAAAAGGCCAACATACGACCGGAGTCGTTCATATTGAAGGACTGCTGTTGTCGTCCTGGTTGTTCCAATAGCAAGTAGTCCGACAAGTTGCTGAAGAAGTCCACTTCAGTTGGTTGCAACTTATGAGATTTAATTGAAGTGACGGACCTCAAGGCTTGTGAATGGTGTCCAGGAGCCGTCGTCAGCAACCTCTTCTGATGTGGTTGAATCATCATCATCCCAGTCAGAAAAGTCGCTGTCGTCGTCATCAAGATCGTCGACCTCAGGCCGATCAACATTGCGAGTTGGATTGGCAAATAAGCCCGATTGATCTTGAGTCCAGAGGTCAATCAGGTCTTGTTGGAGCATCTGAAAGTCTCTGGCCTGCTCATCATTGTCAGAGTCCAGGATCGGAGTTGTGATCATGGGGCAGGCAATTTCATCTGCGTCCGAATTATGGTTGTCCTTGTCTGATGATCGCGATGTTGGTGATGTTGGGGTTTCTTCAGACGAGTCGGGTGCAGTCCATTGCTGAAGGTTGGCAATATGGCTTTGATTCTGGCAATGTCGTCGGATTGACGAAGCCTTCATCCCTTGGCTGCCAGGGCAAGCACGGCATAAATATACACCTGGCTCATTGTCGTTCTTGGTAAAGCCTGGAAGATCACAATCAGCAAATATGATTGCATTGTGTTTGTGAGATGAGACTCAACAAGTCGGTACGCCCTCAGGAAGCACCATTATGTCAATAATAAATAAGATGTGGACAAAAAGAAAACGACAAAAGATTCGATAAAACGTGAGGAGGAAGGAAATTGGTGATCTTCAGCAAATCAAAGGGAATGATCACATCCTTTGATTTTCTGGAAATACCAGTGATCAACTGTCTAAGACCCAGTTAATCACTGTAACTGGTGATAACGCATGACCAACCGAGTGGCTCATCGTGGTTTTACGGGAGTTTGACTGGTTACAGTTGCCCAACCATTTTTTTTGGTGGTTGAACAACTGTGTTCATTTGACCTCCCGTAAAACCAAAAGACAGCCGGGGCCAAACCGAAAATACCGAAGTTCTGTAATGGTTTTTTTTAAACTCCCCAGGAACGGTTTCTCAACGAAAAGGAGGTTCGTGGTGTACATATGTCACATTGTCACCTACAACCTATTCTTGTATCTAGAAGCTAGCTCCTAGTGCCCAGGTATAGATTTTGAAGAAAAGATAATTATGTGGGGGTAAAACACATGAATTTGATTTTTTATATCTACAAATGTGGAAGGTTAAAGTCTTACAGTGTTGCGAAAAACTTGAGCAATTTTTTTATAAAAAAATGTACATATAAGCAATTTGAAGTTGAACTCCTTAATTATAATTGACTGTTTCCTTGTTTTGTGAAAACAATGGTCTTGTTGTTGATCAAAATTTGATAGGTTCATCCTTCATTTTTTCATTTTTGTAGATATCTTATCATCAATTTTACATTCTTCTCCTTATAAACATTGTTTATCATACTCATTGAAATAAATAATGTGGTATGAGGATTCACAATAGATAGATGAGTTGAAGATGGTAACACAGGACCATCATTAAATAAAAGAAGATCCTTTTTATCAAAAAGGGGAACAATGATGAAGACACACAAAAATCACAACCTTGTGAAGCCTTGCAAAGGCATTCATGTAAAGGGAGGGGAACACAAGATGTTGAGAGTCAAAAGAACAGGATCAAGAATCCCACAAAACCATTTGATCATGAATTATATCATCAGGTAAGGCAGATCAGCCAGCAAGCAACAACAGATAATGATAAAAAAGAACTGCACATATCACATGAACATCTTTTAACCAATGACAACTAGTCTCAAAATATTGAAAAGAGAGACCATTTTAATGATATTCAATAGCTTATCAAGATAACTGCTGTACATCTGTGTGCATTGGAGGATCATACTTGTCAATGAAAAGGCCATCAGTTCAAGAACCATTAATAGGGATACCAGGATTTGGGATTATGATGTGGAGGTTCCTTCAGATTGTGAAAGAAAAAAGCGTAAGCTTTGGATCAAATCTTCATGAGTTGAGGATTCTGGATTTTGTTCCTGATGAATGAAGTTAACTTTCACAAGTTCATTGTTTTCTGAGTTGAATTTGAAAATGGCCTTGTGAGTTAACCACCTAGTTGCTTCAACAAATTGATTTGAAGATGTGCCCTCTATCTCTAATTCAAATGAACCTCCTGAAGGATCAAGAAATTTGGCTAATGATCATTTGTTGTTTGAAGGACAGTGTCAGCATTCTTTCCACAGGTCTGATGAGGATGTTTGTGGAGACTTGTCCTGAATGAATGACTAAATCCACCAAAATGACATACCTTTGTCAAGTTTTTGATGACACCAATACACATCTCTGAATTTTTCAAGGATCCCTGGAGACATAGCAAATAGATAAAGAATTCAGGTATGGTACAATCAGTGAGCAAGTCAATGAAGACCTGTAGCATTCCAAATCATTCTTGTCAAGCTTTCTTTACCACTTACTTTTGTTGTAGAAAACTTTTGCCCCATTTCCATCCATTTCATATAATTGGAACTGTTTCAAACTTTGAAAAATCCTTTTTCCAATCGCAGATTGAGGGCATGCCAAGTGTGAATAAAAATCTTCAACCAGCTTTAAAGCATTGTCTTGTTGGTCTGAAAAAGAAATCTTGATGAGCCTATACACTTATTGATATCTGTAATTCCATGATATGTATTTCAACTCACTTTTATCAATTGCCTGTGAATACTCAAATTCCATATTCCAAAACCCAACAAAGACAGCAAGTGTCAATGATACCCATAGACAGAAACCAAACAATGTGAGGTAGATAAATTTATTGATCTTGAGAGCATTCATGATCCTGTTTTTTTAATTATCAATTCCTGGGAAGGAATTGGGTGGAATATGGGTGAAAGGGCCAGGTAATCTATAGGAGGAGAATGTATCAGATGTCTGAAGTGTAATTGATATAGATATATCAAATCTTGATTGAATATATGACAAAGCAACCAATATTGTGGTGGGGCAATTGAATAGATAAATACATCATCAGAGACAAGCACAGCTATGATGTGCATGTCTCACTCATCAGAGCTGTTGAAATGTGATTCCCCAGAGATTGACATCCTTGAAATTTGTTTAGAAGTCTCCAATCATTCTTATCTTTCAATGCTGAAATATTGAGTGGTCTATTGAAACATTCAACAAGGATTGACTGACAAGTAAAGGCTGTGTTAGAGGGACTTCTATCATATATCTGACTCAGAATGAACAAGAATCAGTGAAGCATCATCATAAAATGAGGTGTATGACAAAATTACCCCTTGAATTGATACCTGGAATCTTAGTGGTTATGCTTCAAAGATCTCCAATAATCCTTATCTTTTGCTACTACACTCTTGACTGATCTATTGAAACTGTCAGTGGAGATCACCTGACAAGTAAAAGAGCTGTTGAAGGGAACCTTATTGTAGATGTAACTTGATATGAACATCATGATCACAATGAGTTGCATGGCATAAATCCCTCTGGATTGACATATGAAATCCTATTGGTTGATTCCAAAAGAGCTCATATCATTCTTATCTGTCAATGTTGCACTTGTGACTGGTCAATTGAAACAGTCAGTGAGATTGCCTGACAACTAAAGGCTCTGAAAGATGACAAATTACATAGTATATGTAACTTGGAATTGACTAGAAACGGTAAAGAACCATACAAAAACAGTCATATGACATGGCACTCTTGGATTGATGTTTGAAATTCTGTTGGTTGATTTCAAAAGGTCTTGTACCATTCTTATCTTTCAATTCTGCACTCTGCACTGGTCTATTGAAACAGCCAGTGTGCATCACATGACAAGTGAAGGCTCTGACAGAGGGCATAATAGCAGGGTTCAAGGTGGAAAAAACTGCCAAAATTTCAATGCACTTGGGCCTCCCAGCCCTCCATTTTTTTTGAAGAATACAATTGCTACAAATGTGCTTCTCAGGTGAGGCTTTCCAATAGTATTTTCAAAATTTGGTATTTTTGGGCAGAATTTTGATGTAGAGACAATTGCATTTTGGGCATCTTTTCAGCTTCAACGCAACTATTATCCATCTAACTCATATTGAACAAGAAATAGTCAAGTATCATCAGAAACACTGGTCATATGAGGTGTTCCCCTCTTGAATTGTAACCTGAAATATTGAAAGGGCTCCAAATTCAATCATTCCAATCTTCCAATCCTGGGCTCTGGACTGGTCTATTGAAATAGTCAGTGAGAATTGTATGAAAATTGAGGGCTCTGTTGAAGGGCATGTTATCATAGAGGTGATTTGGACTAACAAGAAACCTTGAAGCATCTTAATAAAAATGAGTTGTGTGAGATGATTCCCTCTTGAATTGAGAGACCTCAGATCTTGGTGGTTCCTTTTCAAAGGTCTCCAATAATTCTCAACTTTTGATTCTGCAATTATGAGAGGTATGACCTCTACGGACACAGTGAATAGCTTGCCTTGGGTTTGAATCATCTCTTTCTGTGATTATCAAAGAGCCTAGTACCAAAAACGCTAGAGGCAAACTTTTGATCTTTGTAGAGTTAGTTCAAATCACTTTTGTTGTGAAAGGTCTTTGAAGCAAAACCTTCGAGGGCCCTGACATTGACACTATATAAGGAGAGAGACATATACTCTGAGCAAAGAATTTGAGTTGGCACAATACTGGATGTGGCACTGGAAGCCACATTGATATGTATAGAGACGCCTGAGCATATGTAACTTTTTGATATGGGCAAATCAAAGGGAATGGGTTAACAAGCGGGCTGAAGTAAATTTTGGAAGCCAAAATTTTCAAGACACATATCCAGTTTCAGGAAAGAAATTGTAATAGTAGGCCTGGAAGTGGACAGTAACTTCATAGCACAAGTTCACCAAGATGGGATAGAGAACTTTCTGAGCATGCTCAGGATATGAGTGATAATCTTAGCACAATCACAATCAAATAAATTTTGATTCCAACTCCTGATCTTAATAAATTCCAATCCTAATCCTAATTCCAATTTCTAACTTTAATGAATATAAAATAACGATCACATAACATGTTCATCAAGTATTCCGTCACATAAACGATTCATCAAGAGACATATTCAGAAGAGTGAGCACTATAAGTTGAAATTGAATGGATGGACCGAGAGAAAAATTTGGAAAAAGATCTAGTCAGTCTCTTTCCTTGTGAAATGATTGGAAAAGATTCACAGAGAAATAAAGTATACTGATCTCTTACCTTGCGCCCAAACCTCCTCTTGCCTTTTAGATTCATCCCTCCATTCTTCCTCGGGCTCCTCCACAATGGTGTAGAGCACTCTGTAGCGTTGCGCAGATAACAATTCGCTCTGTGATATCAATCAAAAGGGAAAAGTGGCACAAGAGAAATGAGTAAGAAATGCAAGAATGATGATTGAACGAAAGAAGATTGATAATCGGAATTTGGGAACACATACCAATGGTTTCCTGGATGTTTTTCGTGGGCAAACTTTCTTGATAGTACTTTTGATGATACGGTTAGGTGTTCGATGAGGTGATCTGACACTACCGTCGGGGTTCATAAGTAAAGGTGGTCCGGAGTAGATGAACCGAGGTCTTGGTTCAATGTGAGAGGGGTTGGAAGTCTTGAATAATTCAGGGTGAGAAGATGTAAAGGAAGAGAAAGAGAAGATTGGAAAAGGATATGTCAACAAGAGAAAAGAAGATTGATCTACATAGGTGAATGGGTTAACAGTACATACCATAGAATTGTCACCAGATGCGCCGGAAAGAACGCTTGAAGTTGCGGATCTTCTTCTGATGCGAAGGGGGCGTTCGAGAGTTGGGGACGGAAAAGGTTCCTCAAGGTTAAAGATTGATAGTCTAGCTGGGGAGAGACCACCGAATTCTAATTCCAAGGGGCTTCGCTCGCTACCGGAAGCGGCGCCCTTGAAAGGTAAAAGAAATAAGAGTCAGGAAGTGAAAATGGAAATGATGAAAGGATTAGAAGGGTTCAAAAAGTGAGCGAAAGAAACCAGTGCTCACTGAATTGTCATTGTTTACATTGTTAGTGAACACCTTCTTCACTCTACAACTCTTGAGATCGAGGGAAGGGGGACGCATTGTGAGAGAGAGACGAGAGATTCGAGTGAAGCAGAAGGTTATAGGAAGGATGAAGGGATGAGAGTTGAAGTGAGGCGGAAGGAATTGAAGGTGGAGTTCGGAATCGGTGTGGTGTGTTGTGGAAAGCTCTCTGAGTAAAGAATACAATCACCACCATCTAAATAATGACCAGGATCAGCATCACCTTGGTTGCATTTTTAATGTTGACTGAACATTTACGATAATGTCAATACATTATTTTACCCTTTGTACTCAAAATAATAAATCAGAAGCTGTACGGAATTTCTTATTCTCGACGCATCACCAATTACATTATTTTATCGTAGGGAAATGCGTGCCCATTACCCTACAACTTCACTCGATGACCCCAAAAATGTATACATTGAGGTGCGTCCGCCGTCCCAGAGTTTTTACACGTGGATCCATACACATTTGGTGACCGTGACGGTCAGCTTTCCTTAGCTTGCCCACGTATTGGGTGCTGATCACTTCCAAATTCACAATAATATGAGTGAATGAATTTGGTTTTATCAATTTGTACTGACAATGATACAACATAACTGGCCCGTTCTTCAATTCTTCAGGCCTTCCACGACTAACATCATTTCATCAAAAGAACGTACGCGACCTCTGCCCTTACCACCTTACTTCATGATTTGGGAAACATATCATATCATGCGTTAGTGTGTTGATTACGATCTTCAATATTGGTCTCTTGATCATTTCTCAAGGAATTCGTTTGGAAGCGAGCGTCCTAATTCCTATCAACGATCATCAGCTGCAATTTGTCTTTGCTTCAATGTACTCTTTGACTAAAGGTTTCATAAGAGCTTTAGCAAATTGTAGCGTAGAATGCCCATCTTTGATATTCTCAAGAAGACTTCATAGGTCATTTGTCAATCTCCCTTCAGAGCTCTTCTTTCACTTGTCTCATCTTTCCCACAAAGATTCGAGAGCAAGACAGTTTTGATCTGATCCGGATGATCCAGATATCATAGATACTCCACATATCGAATGGATCGGTGTGATCAACCTTTTATGATCAACATCTATACTCGTCGATGTCATCGTGTTGTGTACATCTTGAGCATCTTACAAAATACACAATGGCCGGGAGTCTAATCTTCTGAATGTCCTTTCAATAAAATCCTTGATTGTGGGAGTTGCGCTCCGACTCCATGCTCACATTTGGGTTTTGAAGCCATGTTCTGGTTGATACGATAGACCTTTTGTAATCGGCGGCTAAAGTCTCATGAAGTGCTGTTCCAACCTACAAGCACCTTACAAATTTCATATTCACCAGAAGGGTGATCTTGTCAATAGCCTCTCAAGACACCAATTGGTTGAGGAAGTCTGGATCGAATCTCGTTCCCGAATTTAGCTTTCCAGGCCAGGTTTTGATTTAGTGGATCTATACTATAGACCTTTCAAAACTGACAGTTACAGTCTCATGAAGTGCCGTGTACACCTAGGAGCATCAAAATAGACGATCACCAGAGGGCATATCTTCTTGATGGATTCATTATGCAACGATCGGTTCGCAAACTCAGGCTTGAAGTTCATTCTCGAATTCAAGTCTCGAGATCATGGTCTGATTTTCAGCTTCAACATATCTTTGATGGATTCCATGCGTTCAAAATCCTTGTGCTTGGTGCTTCCAAAACGCAGCGTGACAGAAACGTCTTGGCAGTGCAGCTAGCCTCTCAATTATCTATGCCCCCAACCCCAAATATGCATTCCAGCAAGATTCAGGAAGATGTCAAAGTCGGCTGACGAATCGCCGCCCGATATCTTTTGTTAAATGAAATTTCTTCTGCCCTTAAGGCAGTTAATGCTTGGAACCAAGAATGATCTGAGCATAGGTACGCTAAACCGATTTCGTAAGCTGTAAGGATCAACAGTTTTTGGCTTCATGGAAAGCTTGTACGCAGAAGCTGTTCACATTTCGTTCGATGTGATACGATTATCCCTTGGGCTTTCAGTCTTTGGTCAGACAACACGATATCTCGTTTCAGCTTCAAATGACAGGTGTTCGATTATTTTGATTGGATGAGATGATCTTGAAGAAAAAAATATGAGTCGGCGAGAGGATGAGAAGAATCGATCTGAACCGATACATACCCTCAGCCTGAGAGGGCGACCACCTTGAAGGTATGCTTGCCTAATATTTGAGAGTTTTGCTTGGTGTGGCAGTTTTTGACTGTCTCTTCACGATCACTCTTAGCCTTCACCTTTAGAAAAACAAATCTTCCTGTCAATCAATGATCTCAGTGAAAGCTATCTTTTCTAGAACTAGAACAAGATACAAGATTGTAGATTTTTCTTTATACCGACAAGAGAAATTGAAAATCTTCATGGGACATGATGATTTTTTTTTTCGCTTTGGGTTCCATGCTTTTAACAAACTATTCATCCCCATTTAATTATACCTATGTAAGCTCTTTAAATGATTTCCAAAGATATCCATGTTGAGCTTTGTCCAGATAAATTTGAAGAAAAAACTGATTTTTTTCGTGTTACAAGATTACAAACCCAGCAATTGACTGAAGTCATCCCAAATACACATATTCAACATATTGTGATGAATAACTTCAAACATATTCAAACCCATGCAAAACATGAGTGATGTTTTTTTGTAATGAAGAATTTTGATACCTGATACCGTCATTCAAGGAGATTCAAGAAGGTGATACAAAATGTGTTCACCTTCAAGACTGATACATGGATTGATCAATGAATGGTTGTAGACTCTGCTGTGTGTTGTCCTTAAACTTTCCTATCTTTATAGATGAGAAATCTCACATCACACCCACTCTTTGAGACTCAGTGTGTACTTAGTTGGAGTTGACAATGATACACTCATAGAGTTCAGCTCTCAAGGGTTTTGACAAACAAATCTCAACCTTCAAGTCCTGGCCTAGTATTGTAGAACTTGAACTCAAAGCTTCATGAGATTGGTATTGTACTTCTCCTTCTATTTCATTTTACAGAAATTTCAAAAACAAACTAAATTCTTTACCATTCAAAACGTTCGATTTCCTAAAAAAAATGCTTAGATTTTGATTAAAAACCTAACGAAGCAAAAAAACAACAAACCAAACCAAAAAAAAACATTATACACATCTTTTCCTATCCGTCAGTTCCTTCCTACTAATCATTTACGTATATAACATTCAAAACCATAAAAAAGACTTTAAACTAAAACAAAACAACAAAAAAACGTATACAAAAAAACCGACTGAAAGTAAAAGACCTTGATCCCAACTTATTCTTCTCTAATAACTTTCAATTCAGTTAGTCCACCCACAAACTTTCTAACTTCTAGACCATCATCATCATCATCATCATCATCATTCGATCTCTTATCTTTATCTTTTAATGAACTTTGTTTAGATTGAATACTTAAACCTTTTTCATTTGCTAGATGTAATAAACAAATAAAACAAAACGAAGTGGAAATCTCTTCCATCTTTTCTTTGGGATAAAGTTTTTGTAATCCACCAATCACTTTTGTAAACGTTTTAGATTTTTCCGTGTTAGATGAATTTGGAGGTTCGGTTGGGTTTCTTTCACTTTCCGGTTGATCATCCTGTAAAATAACAAAATCAATTTGATTGAATCAAAAGTGAAAAAGAAACTTCAGATCACTAACTAATTTCTGGGCTTCTAATTCATTAGTCAACTCCTCCAACTCTCTCCATATATTCTCTTTCAACTTCTTAACATCCACCCGTTTAGCTTTCTTAGCATAACTAATAAACTCAGGTCTAACTCTTGTATTCAAGTTTTGAGTAGCAGCAATCAAATCTTCTTCTTCTACTTCTTTCACTTCTATTGTAGTTTCTATTGATGGTGTAGTAGGTAAGGCTCCAACTGGATTATCAAATTCTTCTTCAAAATCCGGCGTATCGTCTCCTTCATCTTGAAAGAATTGAGTGGCGAATGGTATGTCTTCATTCGTTCCTGGGTCAGTTCATTATTAAACGAAATCAAATCAGTAATGGTTTCTTATAGTTCAACTGGTCATTGAAGAATTTACCTTCTTCGGTTTGATCTGCTAGTGTACTTTGAGCTGCTGCTGCGGCTGCCGTTTGTGCCCAATAATTTTCATCAATCTCAGTATTTGATGAATTTTGTTGGTTCGCTCCAGATTTGACTCTCATAGTAAACTATAACCAAGGAAATCATGATCAGATTCATTTTCGAAAAATAGTAAGAGATACACAGAGAAAGGAATTACCGTTGCTTTAGGTTTCATATCAAATCGTAAAAGTTGTGAAGCATTAAAATGCATATCATCCGGAAGACAATGTTGTTCCATCATCTGTTTACTTCCTGCAAGACTCTTACTACCACTGATTTTTTTGATAATCTTTTGATGCGATTTCGGTTTAGGTGGCTTATATCCTGGTAGAGTTAATGGAACTGTACTTGTTTGAAAGATTGTTTTACGAGGAGTAGTCAGAGGTTGGGTGAAATCGAATGAAAATGCGGTTTTCTCTCGTTTTGTTCGGGTCATTGTTGATTGTCCTTCTTCATCACCTGAATACATCAATTCAATCATATGATTAACAAGATTCAGTGTTTCCAAAGGAATTTTAGCGCATAACAGAAGGCAAGGGCCACTTACGTGCTTTAGAGACTGTCCGTCTTAGTTTCCAGTGCTCAGGACCTGCCCACATCTTCTTGAGGCTCTTGTCAAAATAATCAAACATACCACTACTTTCATTAGCCATAGTGCTTTGTCCTATCCGACTTGTCGATGTTGGATCATCTACCAATGCCATCAACATATCCCTTTCATTAGGCATCTTATTCGCATTAAATGTTGACATCATCCCAACACCTCCTTCATCATCATCATCATCTCCAACCCCATCACCCATGGCGAAATCCATATCTGCGGAATTGGGATCATAACCCGAATCGAAAAAATCTCCACCTCCCCCACCTCCAGGCTGATCATTCGGTGGTGGTTCTTCAGCTGTCTCTGCAAGAGCCGCTAGATCTACAAAGCATTGGACCGAATCTGTTGCTGAAAACTTGAAATTGGCGAGACAGGGGCATATTGTACGCTCTTGAAATGAAGCAATCGATCCGAGAAAGGAGGCTGGATTGAATAAAAACGCCTCAGGATTTAAAACGATGATCAAGAAAACAGATTCAGGGGAAAAGTTTACATTTGAGTTTGGAGACATCAATCATGGGCTGCTCGTCTTCTTCCTGGACTGCATCGTCTTTGTCATCGTCAGGAAGATCGGTCAACGATTTGCCGCTGGCATCGAAGACGATGGTCATGGTACTATCGATCGCTAGATGACTCATACTATTAAAGCCGCGAGACAACTGGATATTAGACTCGGACTAGGCAGTATGGTTTCATTGATTCATTTACTTACAGAATACCACCAGGGCCGCCCTCATCGAAATCTGCACAAGTCTTCTTGAACAATGGATCGACAGTGAATTCAAGTTCAAGATCTTTGACCTTGATCTTGTCATTAAAGTCGACTAAAGATGTCGAATTTGCATTTGCAGTTCGAGTTCGTGGCTTTTTGACCTTTGTCGCGGTATCTTCGCCCATCTCTTCATCGGTTGAATTGCCATCGATATTATTAGCCAGGTCTACAGAAGTTACATCAGGTTAGCATCTTTTAAGTCGCGATAGAGACTTTGAATACGAATAAATGCTTACTATTAGCTTCCTCGGCCAGACCCGAAAGAAGCTTTCCGGTCTCGGTGGCCACACTGTCTACCCGAGAAGTCCAGATCTTGACACAGCCATCTAGTGTACAAGAGGCCTTAGGAAGTGGAAAGAATAAGATGAGATGGATGCAAAGACTGGGACGCGAAAACAGGCAGAGATACACACTTTTTGAAAATTGATACCTCCTTGAGCTTCTGGATTGCGTAAAAGAGACATATCGTGAAAGTAGTCAATGAGGGCAAAAGACCATGTATTGTTGACGTTGATTTTCTAAAAGATGGCAGAAATATCACGGTATGTGATGGTTCAAACGCGCCATGATTCGATAAGAGAGATATCAGATTGTGTCATGAAGTGATGAAATGTAACAAGCTGATTGAATTTACGTTGTCTGTGGCCATCTTCATCCATTCATCATAATTGTTATTCATCACTTCTGTACTGATTACCAGTCTGTTTTCACCACCGATACCTTGAAGTCCACCACTACCCCTGTTCGCGTTCCGAGCTTGGTTTTCTCTCACGCGCGCTAAAGCTCCAACCCGGGCACCACCGCCCGTAGGACCGTTTGACTCTACGCTTGGCGAAGCGCGATTAACAGAATTGTTAAGGGATTTTTGAGGTGTTGCCGCGTGGTCTAGATTATTATTGATAGAGACCGATCGATTAAGACCATTAACACTACGACGAGCTCCAAATTTTCCACTTAATCTCCTCTTGGCGTGTTCAGCAAGCGATTTCTTTTGAGCTGCTCGTGTAGGATCTTCTTCAAAATCGATATCTGATTCATCATCTGATATACCAAAGTTAACACCTCGTTTTGTGATTTTTTTAGCTTTTTTATGTGCTCGAGGTGAATCTGAATCTGATGATCCTGAATGTGAAGCAGTTGAATTTGATGTTAGAGCGTTCTGTTTGATACTTGAGTTTGTTGTTGGATCTTGATCACTTGAATCAGATAATTCTTGAATTGAATGGGATTTTTTGGTAGCTCTTCCGGGTTTTGATCGCTTGGATGACATGTTGTGACTCGTTTCGATCTCTGAATGGTATGCAGAATAAATTGAACGTGTTCTTTGAGCTAGATTTGATTGTCAGTGCTGTTGAAGTGTTCGTTTTGTTCGATTGAAAAGTTGATGATGGTAAAGTGAAAGTAAACTGAAGTGAAGACTTTAAAGTCAAAGTGTTGGTATGACCGTGTTTGTATGCACTCACAGTGGTCAATGATTTTCATCTCAACTCACCCTCGCTCGAAGCATATTGCGCATACATCAACACCCTCGATACAGAGATTAATAACCTCCACTGGTTCCAACTTCCACTGATCAAGACTCTTGCAATCTATCCCTCTGTACATATATGTAAGATAATTGCCAAAGTATGGCGTATAGAGCTAATCGTGGAAACAAGGATTGTAGTATTACGAGGGTTTTGTGAGTTAGACGATACCACACCGACAACTCAATGCAAACCTGTGGAGAATAAAAGCTCCATTTCTTTACCTCCTCCAGCCTTGACCCAATGCACATATATGTAGTGCAAGGACTGAATAAAGGGAAGATCAAGTCACAGGTCATTTTGGCATAGATTGATTTGAACTCGTCAAGGGAGCCAATATCGGAATTGAAATGGAATTACACATTGCCCAGTCAGGATAACACGCGTTTTCTGGTAACGCACTTCTCTAGAGATGTCTATCTGATATTCTTCAGTCCCATATTTGTCAAAGAGAGTGGCGCGCTCACAAGGGGTCACATGTGTCGAGGGTACAATCAGGCAAAATTTTATCGGCGCGTCATGAAAGAGGTCACGCTGGCTGCAGAGGGATCCGGGTGCTAGCTGGCACGCCAACCTTGGAGAACTGCGTATTTTCCGGATGACATTAGCAGATCAGAAGATGTATCAAAAAATTAGTCGAAAGGCACTGGTTTACTTCATTAGAGATAGAACTTGGCTGATTATAGTTGGTATGAAAAAGGACAAGGACATCCAAGTGGCCTTGTTTTAATTCTTTCAACTCTTTGAACTGAACTAAATTGGTAAATTTAAGAACTCTTGTACTACAAAAAAATAAATAGATAAAGATAATCAAGAGACAAGTGAGCCAAAGAAACAAAAGTGATTACAAGAATGATTAAGGAGTAAAACTACTAAGATGAGATTCAAAAGGGAGAGGAGTGACAGCACAACAAGTGTGTTTATTTACAATTCCTACAAAGAGATAGAAAAGAAGAGAAAAGAGAGCCTTCAAAGCCAACTAGGATCGATCGGTCCAAAATCATCCTCATCGTCAACCACAAGTGTCTTAGCGTGCCGTGCGATGCGTTGTCTGAATGCATTCACGAGGTAAGATCGTCGGTTTCGATTGGGTCGATCAAGGTAATCGTCCGGGTGAGTGTAGCGTGGCTGAAGGTTTCGAGACTCTGCTTGATCGTTGAGACTTCGTAGGTAAGAATCAGAAGGTGGACAAGACCTTCTGATGAAAATTGGAGATGGCGACTTGAATGGTCGCAAAAGGGTGGAGTTAGACAAATTACAGCCGATGGGGAGTTTGTGATCGTGCTGAATTGTTCGGTCAGATGGCTCAGCTAATCTCGATGCACGGTAACTGGTGGATGTGCGGATTGCTTGGAGTGAGCGAGAATATCTGAGGAGCGTCTATTGAATTTTATGAAAGAAGAGCAATTAGTTATGGTTTGCTCTCTTTGAAAAAGGAGGACGGACAGGAAAGTGTGAATCATTTACCTGAATGCGCGCAATGGTGAATAGGCGATAATAGCAAGCCCTTGCATACTGCTGAGCAGCCGAAAAGCAAGCTTGAGGGAAGCGGATGTTGGAGGGCGCAAAGAAGCGGAAGTGATTGAGGACCAAGTAAACGGCCGGTTGGAGAATGGAAAAAAGGCGTCTGGCGAGTGGGTCGGTTGATGATAGGAGTTGAGAGAGCCAGAGCGGCTGAAGGAAATTAAATACGAAAATATTAATAAGGATTCATGAGAGGTAAACAAAACAAGTGAAAGAGACCAACATTGAGAGGGAAATTGAGTTGAGTGGATGACGGGTTGAAAATTTGATGGAGGGTGACATCAAATTTCTTCATTGCTGAGACCGGCAATTTCGACTTGAGAAATCTCGATTGACGGTAGGCAATGTTGAGATCTGGGAAGAGGAGTTGTTTGATGGTTTTCGGTGAGGTGGCGGCAATGGTGATGTTGATGAAGATTTGAGATGCCAATGAGATGAGGTGAATGAAGAAGTATGGCTGAGATGGTGAAGTGGCAGCAGTGGAGGTAGAGAAGAACATGATGAAGTGAGATGATGATTTTGAAGAAATTGTTAATCAAATTGTTTTTTGTCTTTATAAGATAAAATGATTGGAAAGCTGAGGGTGATTGCTCAGACTTGATCAAAGGAAAGGGTACTTTATATTTCCTGGTGATATACCAGCCATTGTCCATAAACATTTCTGGTGAGGTGGGCTGAGCATTATTTGCATGATAGAACTCTCACAGGCACGTAGGAATCCGATTGAAAGGTATTGTAAGTCAACATTCAGGGCAGCCAGACATCATTTTGATCTCCAGGTAGCCAGATGATCCACGTCTACTCTCATCTTGTTCGTGTTGCATTACAAACATGATACGATAGGCTCATGCCTCTTGACTCGACTGCCAAGGCATGGGATAGAGCTGACACTAATGCTCGAATGATGGTGGAAACATGAGTGAATTGCTCAGCATTCGAGAATTATACCGATCAAACTCTATCAGCTCCCCCACCGACGAAATAGCTAGTCAAATTGTACCTGACTTATATCATTTAGACCAGAAATCGCACATTCCATTCAACATTTTGCATTTGATATCATGTTGGAGTGGCTAATGCGAAAGAAGTCTTCTCGAAGAATTTGCCAAAAACCTGGAGCTTGCTCGCAGCCTTCGGACATTTGCGACCGTTTTCCCACTCAGAAAACACATTTACTCTCTACACCCTTGAGTCAGATGTGGCCGTGATGTATAGCAGGCAAGCAAAACTTGATGCGATTTCTTCCCTCAGTCGACTTGTATTCTTCCCCGGGCCATTATCCCATACCGTAAGATATGTTGAACAACGAAAGAAGAGCGCCAAGATTGCACAGGAGAGTCGAGACATGTTACCGGGGATGGGCAAGATCCTTGATCAAAACTTGACTGAGAAAACATATCCTGATTTCTCTCATTAGAATGCTCAAGACATCATGATTCAAATCAAGCATCTCTTCTCTTTCTACAAACTATATGACCAATCTATTACACTATCAAAAACAGTCCTATAATTCTTTTTGACCTCTTAAAGTGTTGTATAAAGCGTGATAAACTTCAAAAGAACTTGATTCGAACCCAATGAATGTGAAACCAAATCAAACTACCATGATTTGTATGTAATGCATTTTTTTCACCCAACTTCTTTCTCTACATGTCCTGGAATGAAGTTCAATATAATTTCAAACTTTTCTACTAAATCAAAACAAAATTCCCAAATCCCTTCAAGGATCAGATACAGGTGAATCAGCAGTAATGGTAATAGTAGGCATCATCTTCTGTTGTTCAGTTTCTTTAACTTGTTGTAATTCAAGTTGTTTAGCTTTCCAAGCATGTGCCATTTCCACCAATTTAAATGTACCTGGGTTTCTTTCCTTCTCATCATCTGGAAATACTAAATCCCAATCTATACAAACCAAAAAACAATCAATCATCAATCATAGATCATGTTTTGTTGAAGGAAGAGAATACAAGTTTGAAACTTACATTCTTCTTTATCACCTGTTCCTTCTACTTTACGCCATTTTCTCATAGGTCTTGGAATCATGGCTTCCACTTTAGCCATCGATCCAGGATCCCCAATTTCAAGTTCAAGTAATTTCCAATGATCCAATATAATCGAACGCTATCAAAACCAAATCAAAAAAAAACCAATTCCCCAGAAAAGAAACGAAAAACGTCATCAAAAAAAGTGTGTCCGGAAGAAAAAAAGATCACAGATTTTGGTAAAGAAAACTGATCGAACCTGTTCTTTAAGATTATCCTTTACAGGTCCTTCGATTTCATTCTTCCATCGTTTTCTAATATCTTCATATCCTCTCTTCAAAACTTCTCTAGCTAATCTAATGCCTTCAAGTCTTGCTTCTTCTGCTGCTTTTTCATCTTTTTCAACTGGAACTTTTTCACCTTCATCTTCTTCTTCTTCATCTTCATCAAGACCAAGGTATCGATCCGAAATCGCTTTAGCCGTTGAAATCTCAAACTAAAAAAATCATCATCATTCTAATCAGATTCTCAAACCAAAAAATCATGTGAGAAGGGAAAACGATTTACTTTAGCCCAAGAAGTCCATACTTTAACATGTCCACTAGCTAAAGCCAATCTTTCAAATAGTTTTCTAGCTCGATCCCATTCTTCTTCTTCTTCTTCAAAATCAATATAAGCTTTCCAAACACATTCAGGATCATACAAATCGTTTTGTGAAATCGCCATTTCATAAATCGCTCTTGCTCGATCGACTTCCATTAACCCTCTTTCTAATCCTGCAAATTGAATCCAAGCTGATGGATAAGTTGGATCAAACTGATACGAAAAAAAATCGATTAGTTATGAACTTTAATCCAAGGAATATCAAAGTATATAGGAGAAGATAAGGATTTACTTCTAGGAACTTTTCGTATAGTTTTCTACACCTATCAAACTCTCTAAGTTGTAATTCCATATCCAAATAAACCTGTGTAGATAAACGAATCAAAGTCACGTTTGTCAATCCAAGACCATCGAAACCTGAAAAGCAGAATTAAGAGACTAATCAAACCTTGAAAGATTTAGGTTTAGGTGCCAAACCGATAGCAGTTCCCATGATCTTCCTCGCTTTATCCAAGTTCAACTGACGTAACTCGAAATGAGCATACCTGAACAGAAACCCAAAAGAAAGAAGATGAGATTGATTAACGAATCATCAATTTTTCAAACTTGATCAAGATCGAAATCGTAAACTTACATATCCCAAACTTTTGCAAAGGTGAACCGTTTATGAGGAATTAACTTTAAACAAGCTTCATACACTTGCCTAACACGTTCAGCATCCTAAATAATCATCAAGGTTAGACAGATCAGAAGCCTAATAAGTAAAACAATCAAGTAGTTCATAATCATTGCAAAGAAAACTTTACCTTGGTTTCTGTTTCTTCAAAAGTAGCATATCCTAACCAAAGAAAAATATACCGTCTCCAATACCTACAACATTCATCAAACCCAATCCCCCCAATCAGCTTTCCAAAATCGATATCAAACCATACCTTTTTCTTCTTCTTTCACTTTCAAATTCTACTTCAAACACACCTACTTACCTTTTATCATCACTAGGAGGCACTTGAGCAATTGCTCGTTCATAAACTTCACGTATCCTTGTAATCGCTTGTTGTGGATCATCATGATCACAAGACTTGAGTGCGTTTTCTTCTAATCTTGCATACTCGAACCATACATCATAATTAAGTTGTCCTCCATTTGCTAATTCTTCTTCCTATTCAATCACATAAAGTATTATCGAAAGTTTCGCGTCAGGTTTTTTGAACTTTTAAATCGAATGGTATTGGGATTTGTTTGACTCAACATATTGGATTCTTCGTTTTCCTAAAACTGTGGCTTCTATTCCTGCTCGATCACCAAATTGTTTTTCAAAATTAGTATAAGAAGCATACAACCCAACCGATTTAGACCTCGGTAATCGATCTAAAGCATACTAAAGATTCATAAAGTTCGTATTTTGGTTCAGTTCAAACTTATACTAGAATCGTTGATCAAGTTATATAGATTTAGTAGTTGGAAATACCTTGTAGATCATTCTGGCTCGATCGTATTCTTTATGTCGACTTTCCATCTTAGCAAATGATGTATAAATACTTTGAGCTCTTTCTAAATCATCTTCTTCTTCACCAAAATATTCAAATGCCATTTGAAAGATTTCTCGGGATCGTTCTGACGAAAATTTATATCAAGAATTCAGGAAAACCAACGATTTCAAAAACAAAAACAAAAAATGAGTGATCAAATCATCTGAACGTTCTGTTTTTTTCTCTTGGGGGGTGGGGGAACGTTTGATCAACTTACCAATCTTTTGTCTTTCTTCTTCAAACTTGGCCCATTTGATCCAATTCTTAGGATCAGGATGACAAGCAATCATTCGTTCATAAAGTGTACTAGCTCGATCTAATTCTTGATACCTAACTTCCATCTTGATATACGCACTCCAAGCTTTCTCATCGGGTTCCCATGACATCCATCTTTCAAAAACTTGACGAGCCCCTGAAATATTTCCAAGTAACTCTTCTAAATAAACATATTTATACCATATCTGATTGATGCGTGGTAATAAGGTCACAGCTCTATCGAATAAGTTCCTGGCATGTTGTATGTTTCGTGCTTTTAATTCCTATAAATGTTTGTTTTTTAATGGGAGTTTTGAATTAGTAAAGATGTAGATTTGAAAACGTCTTTAGGTGTTCATCTGGGCTTACCATTTCACAATAACTTAACCAAAGTTTTTCAGAAGTAGGTGCTACATCTAATGCTCTTTCAAATACACTACGAGCTCTAGCAAATTCACTTTGTGATGCTTCCCAAGTTCCATACTTTGTCCAAGCTCTTAACTAAAAAGAATTCAAAACCAAACCGAAAAAAAACATCTTTGAGCTTAAGGATAGATGAGTTTCGAGATTTTAAAAAATCTTACATCTTGACGAGTTCTTCTAATCACTTCTTCAAACTCTTTACGTTTTCTACCTCTATATTCATGAAGTTCTTCAAAATCTTCAACTTTTTGACGCGGTGCTGCTACTCCAGTCTCTTGTCTTTCTTGAGCCTAAACCATGAACCAAAGTCGAGAAATAAGTAGATGATGATGAGTGTAAGGTGATGAGAGATAAACTAACTTCGCGTAAGAGTTGTTCTGCAGTGATTTGAACTGGAGCTGGTGCTCTGTTCTTGACCTCTGTTGGAATTGGAACGAGTTCATGAGTGATTGGTTTGAGGTTTAAGAATGATGATGGATTGAGTTTACTGACTTGGAGCTCTGGCGTCTGCCATGATGGTGATTGGTTAAAGTGATAGTCTTGAGATGGTTTGTTTGAAGTTGAAGTTGAAGATGCTGATGAGGTGAATTGAGCTGGTGGGTTGTTGACTGTTGAGCTCGATCGAGACTCGAATGGATGGATGGATTTGGTGTGGTGTCTATGTAAACCCATAGTATACAGCTTGAAACCCCATGAGTGACCCACACTCCAAGTTTTTTTTTGGATTTCTCATTCCATGCTCAACCTCTTTCATACTTTCCTTCCAAGATGGGTTTCTCAAGACCACGTTATAATGAAAAAGCAAGATCACATAGATCAAATCAACAACCTCAAACTGAACTTGATTCAAATCAAAATGATAACACAACCGATCCAACCACTAACAATCCAGGAACTGAAAAAATGTCAAAAAAGAAACAAAAACGATTTGAAAGTTATTTAGCTAAGAAATTAAAAAAAGATCAACATAATCAACTTTTAAAAGTAAGTGTTTCTTTCTTTGAAGAATTAAAAACGATTCTCAAAACTTACTATGTTACTTTTTTTTAATAATTTTTTTTGATAGGACATAGAGTTAGTTGTCTATTGCATTCGATTCATACACTTTGATTTTTTCCTAATCTTTTGGTTTTGTTTGATACGACCAGAGCATCACAATCAACGGTTTTAGATCCATCAGCATTAGTTTCAACAGCTAATTTAAATTCAGCATCAGTTGCAAGAACCCAAAGAGAAATTAAAGAAGTAGAAGCCAAGATTGAATCCAGAAAAAGAGAAAGAGCTCAATTGATTATATCCAATAAGAAACGAAAACATCAAACTTTTCATAGTGATGATGAAGATCAAGAAGAAGAAGATGAGGAGGAGGAAAAACATCAAGTTAAAAAGACTTATAATCAGAAACCTTGCAAGGTATCAGCGGATCAGATCATACCTAACTCTTTTTCAGGAGCTCTTACCATCGAATCCAATCAAGTCAGCAAAAACTCTGGATCTCATACCTCTGATCCTTCTCGCGCATCAGCTTTACCCGTCAAACCAACCCTCGGAAGTGCACTTGCACCTAATGCAGTTACCCGTGTTGTCTCGAAACGTAAACCTAAGACTGCCGGATGGAAGAAATCCAAAAAAGCTATGAATGACAATGTGATTGAATCAGATGAAGATTCTTTCAATAGTTCTGATTCAGCTTACGATAGCTCAAGTGATGACGAAGAAACGAAATCAAAATCGTCAGATGAGCAAGATCCTCAAGACGACGAAGAAGAGGAATGGACAGGTTGTCAATTTGGAGTAAATGATGAAGATGAAGAGTCATTGGATGAAGAAATGAAAGAGTCTGACTTAAATGAAGGTAGGTCGGAACGAGTCAAAGGTAGTTTTCGAGATTGGGCAAATGCACAATTACTCCAAGTCGATGATCATCAATCCGAGGAACCCACGCTAAATCAAGACGACGAGCCTCCGCCTACTCTCATATCTACACAACCCAACCCTCGACCTAAACACTCCGATACTAAATGTGGACCACTAGGTGCTCCACTCGATCTCCCTGAAACCGATCTTTTCCTTCACCAAAAGACCATCAACGTACCACTCACAAGATCAGAAGAAATCAAAGCATCCAGATCTCTACTTCCCATCTTTGCAGAAGAACATACGGTGATGGATGCGATCAGACGACATCCGGTAGTAGTGATTTGTGGAGAAACAGGTAGTGGAAAAACGACTCAATTACCACAATTTCTTTATGAAGCAGGATGGGGTAAGGAAGATGGCGATAATCCTGGGATGATAGGGATTACCCAACCTCGTAGGGTTGCAGCTGTTAGTATGGCTAGCAGAGTTGAAAATGAAATGGGATTAAAAGGAAAAGGTGTGGTAGCTTTTCAAATTCGATATGAGGCTACTACTGAAAAACAAACTAGATTGAAGTTTATGACGGATGGTGTATTACTTAGAGAACTAGCTGCTGATTTTCTTTTAACTAAATATAGTGTGATTATTGTGGATGAAGCTCATGAAAGGAGTGTGAATACTGATGTCCTCATTGGGGTTTTGAGTCGAATCGTTCGACTACGTCTGAAAATGTGGCGTGAACAATTGAACAAACCGAAGGAAAATACTCAAACTAATCAAGTGACTCCTTTACGATTGATCATCATGTCGGCCACTTTAAGAGTGACCGATTTCACCCTCAACACTACACTTTTTTCAGAACCTCCACCTGTAATCACGATTGCAGCAAGACAATTTCCCGTCTCTGTACATTTCAATCGGAAAACTAATGGAGATTATATAACAGAAGCGTATAAGAAAGCAAGTAAAGTTCATACTAGATTACCACCTGGTGGGATTTTAATTTTCTTAACTGGTCAATTAGAAATCATGAACCTTTGTAAAAAGCTTTCAACAAAGTATGGAAAAAAAGCCATTGAAGAAAGAAAAAAACGTCAATCTAAATCGTTTATTAAATTGGAATCTCGTAGACCTTATACGAAAGGCAATGATGAAACAATCATCAAGGAATCTGAGTTGAATACGGATACGGTCGAAGTTGAAGATATTCAACTTGGGAAAGATACTCATGATTTGGCTGCGGATGTGGATGAAGGTCATGAAGCAGAAGACGATCCAGAGGCACTTGATACTGAGGATGAAGACGATATGGACGAGAATGGTCTTGATTTGATGGAAGATAGTGATGGTACGGTTTTCTATCTTGGTTTTCATTTTATGTATTCTCTCAGCAAACTTACCAACACTTTGCCAAATGAAAACAGTACCGATGTATATCTTACCTCTCTATTCACTTCTTCCTACTGAAGAACAAATGAAGGTTTTTGAAGATCCACCAGAAGATTCCCGATTAGTTGTGATAGCCACCAATGTAGCTGAAACCTCATTAACGATCCCAAATATTAGATATGTAATCGATAGTGGAAGAGCCAAAGAACGACATTATGATTTGAGTAGTGGAATTCAATCTTTTGAAATCGATTGGATTTCCAAAGCATCAGCATCACAAAGATCAGGTCGAGCAGGTAGAACAGGACCAGGACATTGTTATCGACTTTATTCTTCGGCAGTATTCGAAAATTATTTTCAAGATTATTCTAAACCGGAGATTCAAAGAATGCCAATCGATGGAATCGTTTTACAAATGAAATCGATGAATATTGATACAGTGACGAATTTTCCATTTCCTACTCCACCTGATCGATATTCATTAAGGAAAGCTGAAGTCGGATTGGCTCATTTAGGTGCACTTACTTTTCAAAAAGGGTTTGATCATTGGTGTTTAGATGGAGAAAAAGTCATGGAAGCTAGGATCACTGAGTTAGGTAGGGTCATGGCACAGTACCCTCTTACACCTAGGTTTGCTAGGATGTTAGTTTCAGGATCTCAACATGGTTGTTTACCATATGTGATAGCTTTAGTATCGATTCTTTCTGTTGGAGATCCGTTCTTACATGAAGATGTGATTACGAGTGAAGATGGTGGATCAGATGATGAACAATTAGGAGCCGAGATTCATGAAATGACCAATGAAGAATTAAAATTAAAAGAAATTCGAAAATCTAAACGTAAACGGTTTTATCAAGTTCAACAACAATATTCCAGATTAGGAGAAGGGATGAGTGATTTATTTAAAAGTTTATCTGTTGTTGGAGCATATGAATTTAATCGATCAGGATCAAGTAAGTTTTGTGAAGACAACTTTTTACGATTAAAAGCTATGGAAGAGATTCATAAATTAAGAAAACAGATTACTAAGATTGTACAAAAAAATCAAGTTGGTGAAGGATTGATTGAATTCTTATCTGATTTAAGACCTCCTAATGAATTACAATTGAAAGTTTTAAGACAATTGATTACAGCTTCGTTTATTGATCAAGTAGCTATCAAAACTAGTCTTTTACCTAATTCATCCACTTTCAATAAAACTCATCAAAACAAAAATCATTTGATTGCTTATAGAACCATAGGAATTAAAGAAGATGTCTTTATTCATCCTTCGTCAATCTTGTTTACTTCTTCTTCGATTAATTCACCGGAATTTATAGTTTTTCAAGAATTAATTAAAACTAAGAATCGGATTTGGATTAAAGGCATCACTAAAGTGAATCAAGCTTGGTTACCGGTGATTGGAAAATCACTTTGTACATTTAAAACATTAGAAGGAATTAAACCTTTGCAAAGAATTCAGGAAGATCAAAAAGAAGATGAAACTCAAAGAGTTTGTTTTGTTCAACCTAGGTTTGGTGGACCTGGATTAGATTTCGAGTTGAGTCCTATTGAAGTTTTTCAAAAGAAAGTAGGAAATCGATGGGTATTTGTTTAAGGGAATGATTCATGAATGAAAATGAAAAAATATAAAGAAAAAAGTATATATACAATGTTTTTTTTTTTGTTTGAAATCATGTGATGATAATTTTTTCTTTGGTGATTCTTTAGTTTGTATTGATTATTCACTTTTTTTAGATCTTTTTCTTTGCATTTTGATTTTGAATTGTATTATTTTTTGAGGTTTTTTGGGGGTCTCTTCAGCTTTGGAAAGTTGGGAGCTGCATTAGATGTATTTATTTTTATATAATTACCAAAATTCGTAATATTTTCTTCATACTGAGTCATCGTGAGATGAGATACCCACTTTATGTTGAAGAAGGAGGTAGACAGTCTCTTGGACTTGATACTTTTTGAGCACAATGGTTCGATTGCAATTCAGTTCTCGATACAATTTTATAATTCAACTCACGGGTGCCCTGAAAGAGCTCACAAAACCTAGCTTGAGTTCCTGAGCGGGTTTCACTCGAAAGGGTAGCAAGTCTTCAAATTGTGTTAAGGCCTTTAACTCCTGGCCTTTGAGACGTCTTTTTTCATGTCTGACATGGAAATATATCGAGGATAGTAAAGCCTCATCGGTGGAATCCGGAGTGGATAATCAATTCTCCTGGACCTAACCAATACATACATCATGTTCACCGACCTACAACAGATCTATCCTGAAAGAAACTTTCTGATTGAGTTTGTGAACAAATTTGTTATATTGACAGGTACAACTGAACTACACCAAGACAGGGATTTGTAAGATTTCTGACGGAGGGCGTTATCGTTAGAAATGCAAATTGAGAATATAAAACAGAGAAAACATTGATGTCCTTTGTTATCTAAATCGACTAGGCAGACAACAACATATATGTGATGAACGAAACTAACAAAAGAAAGTGATATATCAAGAAGCATAGTGGTAATGAGGAATTTTCCTCTTCCCAAGAAACAAACGAGTCGATCATCCAATACCCCAAAGACAATTCTAGAATTCTCAGAAGTTGCACGAGACAAATTTATATATGTCCTCGCCAAATAATCTTTGAACTTTAGGTGTTACGTGAATGTAATCCTACGTCATAAATTCGTTGTAGAAAAGATAAGCTTAACGGTTTACAATCCAATAGCAAAAGAGAGCTTACCCAAAAGAAGTATTCATCAACGTTGTGACAAACAGTGTTATTGGTAAAACAACTGTCAGTGAGGTTTTTGATTCCGTACTAGTAAGGAATAAAAGCGTTTAATCAGATAACGCGATATCAAGAATCGGAAGGGCTTGATGGATATAATTCAACACCAACCTTTTTGGGATGAGTCACTATAAAGTTCCATATATTCGATATGTCATAGACTTTCGGGCCACAGTCTGGACTATCCTTGAATTGGGGTTTCGCAAAAGTCGAGAACAGACCCTGATGATCAAAATATACATTAGCCTAGAATTGGAAACTTTTGGATAAGAGATACTCACATCATTGTATTGTTTGATGAGTGCTCGCAACATACTCAAAAGCACCTCTGATTTTTGTTTATTACCATTTGTCCATTTTTTAACACCTGCATGTTCAAGTGGGGTCATGGATGTGTTCGGTACAGTAATGATCATAAATTTCGAAGGGAACCTGGGCAGAATTGGTTTCATTGTCAGCCCACCACATCAGATGATGGCTACAAATGTGCCAACTGAGCAGAAGCACGCTTAGTTTTTCCAAGTTTATGAGCAGGCAGTTGGACTCAACTTTTTCACGTTATGATTGTCGCGCAAATGTTGTATTTGATATTGAACTTCTTGAAGTTGTCTTTGTACTCTTGCGGTAGCGTTCACGTATAATGAGTCGGTGAAATGTTGTGCTCCTTTGCCACCATTGGTATCAGGGTCAACGGCATCTGTCCAGATCGCGTCTACTGGGTTGATGCCGACCCACATTATGTACAGAACTTCCTTCGTACCATGATTGACCTTTGATGCTTCTAGATCGGAAAGGTAAGTCTGAATCTGTGCTCTAGTATCCGGAACGGTCACCGCAAATTTCGTAAGATTCTGGTTCGCATGAGCGTTGTTACTGATCAACCCCAAAACCATGTCAGCGTACATATTTAGTGGCGAGTTCTGAAGTACTGCTCGGCTCTGGCAAGTGAAGTACGTGAAATAATCATTTGGAAAGGAACATGGCCCACTATGCGTAGTCATGTAATTTGACTGGGTGCTGAGCGGACAACCTTTTCACCAGAGTGTTTGGCCACTGAACACCAATGGAAGCTTTCCCGAGTGCCTCGAATACCGAATCTAAAATACCGGTGCAAATTGTTAGCTATAATTCTATGAAGGTTTTAGATTGGCACCGCCAGGGTCTTGCAACATTATTCGAACCCAAGCACTTACTTTGCAGAGGCGCTGAGGGATTATGACCGTTGTCTTTGTACCCAGGTTTTATTGTACGGGTGGTATTGAAACAAGCGACATTCCCATCAGTATCTGGTGCGATAATTCATCTCATGGTTACGGCACCAACCTGAATACGAATCACCAAATACGACTACGGAGGAAAATACCGATTGAGGTTTATTGCAGGATGCTGGTCTGTAAACAATTCAGAAGTATGAGTCTTGGAGAATGCCGCTGACACTTGACCCAGATCCAATGGGCTTGTAAATTTTCAGAGCACTTACTTGGCCGAGATGGAACCAAGGCATAACATAAAAATTGTCAAGTAGATCATCGTCCGTGAAAGCTGGTGTGACTTGGGAAGACGGGATTCGTACTTCAAAAGGAGAGTTATCGGAATTGTCCGTGGTGCTTTTGCAGATAGGTAGAAAGATCGCTGCGATATGTTGCAAGTCGCGAGAAAATAATAATTAACAAGCTGCAAGAGATGATGATAGTGATACACTCCGTCTGTTTTATACTGACTCAAACCCGCAAAGCTTGGCACAAAGTCCATCCAATGATTGTTCGAGGCCGGCAGGAAAACGTGAAGCTGTATGTGCGTATAATTAGTGTATCAACATACTCGTGAGATTGTTGTACCCCCAATCTATCTTTGTTTTTCCAAAAGGTCTTAATTCGTGAAATGCTATAGGTGCTTTCAAACTAGGAAAAAGTTGAAATGTTCACCAGAAAAATCGTCAACTGTGTAATTACAATACATGTGATACAAGACTGTAGTGCAATCATAGTTTTTCATTACATGCTTTTTTGCTCCTTCAAAATTGTGAAGCCCTACGAGGGAGGAGGAGGGAGGCTCTGGGAGGCCCCCTCCAAATACAAAGTTGAACTTTGTGATTGCACTACAGCGATGTATCAGATGTATTGTAATTACACAGTTGCGAAATAATTACACAGTTCACATTTTTTCTTGTGAACATTTCGACTTTTTCCTAGTTTGAAAGCACCTTATGTACTTGGCCAAATTGCTGTAATCCTTGCGAATCCATGACCTTGCCATTTAAGGATTTGTTTCAACTTCTGCGGTTAATGAGGAGAGACAAATGAGGCGGTTCACGTGCTTCGCTTGCGCTCTATGATCAACCACAAGCAAAATCATCCACATTGATAGATACTTTCGCATGTCCAACAAATATGTAATCATATACAAAGCAGCCAATAAACTCAGAAAGTCCCACGGTCACCGCGCGAGGCTGAGGCGAGCGAGGGACTTATGCCAAAGGCGCACAAACTCATTGCTCAGCCGCCAGCGTACACTGTGCGCAACAGAAGTGCAGACATCTTTTCTCTTGGGACCAAATATGAATCCTCGGTAGGGAGCAGTGCAAATGGCTTGCAAGGTAGCTCCTGCAAAAAATTTCACGGTGAGCAATGAGTTTGTGCAAGTTTGGCATAAGTCCTCATAAGTCCCGTGCTCGCCTCAGCCTCGCGCGGCGAGCGTGGGCCTTGGTCAATTATAAGCGGACAAGTGCATTTTTCCTGTGAAAAGTCCCATGCAGTCAGCGACTCAGCTATCGCTTGCGACGGCCCCGACCTCAGAGCATCCACGTGGACCACGGCCATGTGGCATAAACCGTGTCGTACATAGTAAGTCTTTTTTTCTTCTCGTTTTTTATCATTTCTATGATCCTCAAGTCTTTTGAGACAAACCAGTGACTAACTCTTGCTATTTGGCTTTTGTTAGGTGATGCACTTCGATTTCGTTCACATTTCGCTTGTACTATTATAGAATCACCTAGTACTTCTATCAATCCTATTGATTTGGTTGCATTTGCTCGACTCGCCACTGCCATCAAGAAGGCACATCTCTTAGCATGTTGGGATTCAGAAACTGGTTCAATTGATTATCTCAGTCTCGAATGGGCTGGTATGGGTCAAGACAACAAAGTTATACTCGACGTCAAAAAGATGACCTTCAAACTCATTTTCCTTATCAAATCATCATCATCAATCAAATCGACCGAACTGATTAAGAGTCACATTATTTGGAAAATTCATGAAGAAAAGAAGAATTAAAGGAAGAGTTAACAAAAAAGTAAAGATTGATCTTTTTATTCGTTGTACAGCCATGACCTATCACATTAGAATATATATGAAACTCCGTTTTTTTGTTGCTTTCACAATTAAATACCTAAACCCAACCATCTGTATCATGACATCACCATCAATTCAAAAGATACACTCATCACAAAATCAAGATCTTATTTCTCTTTTTCAAGTTGGAAGTCATGGATAGTAGAAACCAATCTCTCATTTTGAATTTGGTATGATATTGAACCAATTTTGTTCCTTGCAATGACCTAACCAGACCCGTGAAATACATGTAGAGATGTCACAATCTGGACGGGGGTGTGGCCTTTAAGGTGCACCTTGGTAAGGTTCTTTTGAAAAACAGATGGTTTGATGTACCAGTTGCGCTTCAGGTGTGGCCTGGCGTGGCCTCTCACAGCACAAAACAAATCTGGTAAAAGTGACTTTCATGATCTGCTTCTGCACTGCCTGATATTTCCCATCCATCACCTGATCACAACAAGTGAATTTTTCCTCTTGTCACCCAGCTGAGTGATCACACTCTATGGCAACATTGAGACAGCTAATGTACCCGCAGCTGATAAGGCAAGGTAGCGTAGCTTAAAAACAGCCCGCTGAGAGCACCCACTATGGTTGCATTAACAACATGATTTAGTGTCAGGTTATTGCTAAAATACACAGTCCATACAACTGTGTCAAATTTTTTACCCCATGTGGTAAAGTCTACAAGCCCCTACAACTTGATTTATTGTAGGAACTAGTACTGCCAACAAAGATGCCTTGGATTGGAAAATCTGAGGCATACTTGCATGGTAATAGACTCGGGCATGGTGTCCAAGTAATCAATCCAAGGCAATCTCTGGGCAAGGTCAAAATCACTACACAATGGATAGTGGTAGTCTTGTGAAAGTGCTGTGGCACTACCCTGTGAAAAATTAGTTTTTGTGATAGTGGTTGATGCACAGCCCCATACAAAAGTCCAAAATTTCTATAGTGGTATGTCCATTACACTCATAAGTTTTGGCAGTGTGTCCACGCATATAGTGGTCCACATAGTTACGGTACTCAAAGTTGTGTATACTTTGCTGTGCATAGTTTTCTTTTCTTTTTTCACAACTTCACACAACCAGGGAAAACTATGTTTTTGGCTTAAAAGTACATATCTTTGAGCTACAATCAAGAAACATACTTTTTCCAAGTTGTTTGTAGTTGCGAAAAAAACACAAAAAAACTATGCACGGCAAAGTATACACAACTTTGAGTACCGTTAGTGTACTGCAGTGTGCACTGATAGATAATTTAATGAAATTTCATCAGGCTCTGCCCCCAAACAATTAGAAGTCCTGTGCTTTGTTAGGACCCTTGTTTATCTTTCCTTTAGCATGCAAGGTCTACACATACATGAGTTCACCTCTGTCATACTTTGCCCCACCCATCCACCTTGTGACCTTCTATCATCCACTTTCCCCCACCACGTCTACCATACCAGTGCACCCCATCAAAATCATGATCAAAAGTGAGTTTCAAATGAAAAGTATGAAATAACCTGCCTTGATCCCCTTGGACCATTGCTTGTGACTTATATATCTAGATTTATTATCAAAAATTTTGATTTAAACAGCATCCTTCCAATAATCATACTTTACATTCCACTCCATCTCCCCCCAACAAATGTACTTTTTAAATTGAGCCATTATCCAGTTTCTTTATAATCAATTTCTTATCTTTCATCTTGATTTTCTTTCAATTCATCTTATACTGTTATGCTGAAGGTATAAAATCAGCAAGATTGCACTGTTACAGATGACAAGTACAATGTATTTGCTTCAATGCCTTCTCCTGACAATGATGTTAGTCATGAGATGGAGGGCTGCATGTCTGGGAAGGTCCTGCTGATTGGTGGCTTGCTGTGTTCAAGGTGGAAGGTAAGTTTTCCTTTCATCCTCTTGACTAATACTATGATTCCTCACTACTTTGTGTGATGTAGGACAACTCAGGTGCTTTTCCTGCTCTTGCAGAGATGGCTCAGGATTCCTGTGCTGTTCTGCAACCACTTGTTTGTGTGAGAACATGTGCACTATTATAGTGCTAGTGATACAACATATAGCTGTGCATAGTGAAGTGATTTCAACCTTGCTCTGGGGCAAAGAAAGCCTTGGATTTATTCCTCAGACACACAGTCCAAGGGATTGTATATCCAAGGATACCTCAGATTTGGAAATCCAAGGTATCTCTGCCAGCAGTGTAGGTAAAGCAGACAGTAAATCATCCCATAGTGGATTTCATGCAGTTACCAACTTGGATAAAACACACATGTTTGAATTTTGCACTCAGGAACGCAAGATTTACAAAAAATACTCCCACCACAGTGCAGATGCTCTAAGCTACAGCTAGCCTGATCTATGCATGAATGAACTCCAGATACCCTAGACAGAGTCCCAGGAAATCTCCAGGTTACCAACTTTTGACCCTGTATTGTAGTGTAGAGGCACAAAACTCAGCTACAGTGGCTTATAGCGTAGCATAAAATGACAAGCTACACTATCCTAAAGGTAGGATTCTTGTTAACTTCACTCGGCTTCACTGCACACAAAATCCATGGTAGTTTATTGCAGTGTAGCTGTCTCAGTGTTGTCTATGGTCATTAGAAATGCAGTCCAACAGACACCACAGCCACTTGAAGGTAGAATTCATTCAGTCTTGAGGGCTTTTTGACAAGCCTTATCACTGTGTTTCTTGCTTTCTGGAAGTGAAAAATTTGGTAGAAAATCATGTCCCAAGTTCTTACAACAAGGGGTATAAGCTGTTTGGGACAATCCACCTTGTTTTTGCGGTGTGACTGTAAGGGTTACACAGGAGGCAATAGGTCATGGTATTAGGATCATGTGATTAGCTAGATTTCACTTTACCTTTATCCTCAACGCCCGGCTTTGGAAAGTCCTCACTCATCTGAGAGCCTTATTTTGGACTTTCTGGAGCTAGTTTTAGCCTTGTAATATATAAAGAAGTTCATAGTTAGTGCTCTCAAGTGAGTTGTGCCAGACAAAGTTTCCGGACTTCAGTGAAGGTTATACCAAACCTTACAGTGGCTTGCACCCAGGTGTGTTTTGTACATCATGTCACTTTACTTGTCTGCACCCCCATACTGATTTCACAATCAGAAGTGCATAGTGAACCCAGACCCTCAATTTATCTTTCCCTCACCTTTCCTCATACTGCAATCCATAACACCTTGTAGCAAACCCTGCAGAGATCCCCTACTGGTCTCAACACCAAGTGTCAGCCTACAACATTCTTTGACTAGTCTTGATGTGTGATGATTGGTCTATGATCACTGGTCTTTCATTGGTCTTGCTAATCATCTCAATGCCACGTGACAGTGGACAACACTGCTTAACTAGTCTTTATTTGTGCTGATTGGTCTATTATTGGTTGGTAATATGTCCTGCTAATAACACACAGAATACAGCTTGATGATGCCTCTGCCCAAATGACAATTTCATATATCCCACAGGAGTCAGGAATTTACCTATATCATCAATCAATCATACCCAACCTTCAGTCCAGCTCACCCCAATTTTTGAGTTGCATATCATCTTTGAGTAGTCCCTTAGACTGTTCCTTGGATTGCATGACAGTCTTTTGTGTTGACAATTATTGCCCTGAGGTGATGAATAGGATTTATATCTCTGGTATGGCTGCTGCATACTTGGTTTTGTCTTTTGATATCATGATCTATCTGTATGATATGAGGTGCAAGGTGTACATGTCCTCATGGGCAAGGCAAGGGACAACCAGAACAGAGGAGAGGTTTGAGAAAGGAAGTGTCACTGGTCATAAATACAAACATTCTGTGTGTACCAAGGAAGATAGCTTAATCTATTTTGGTAGATTCAATTGGGATTCAAAGGCCCACACCAGAACCCAAAGTCAGTTGGTCCAGTGTCCCAACAAACCATAGAACAGATCAACTTATATAGTTGCTGTCATCAAGCCTCTTTTAATCTCAGAAGGGTGCCAATTCAATAATGAAAAAATTGAACACTAAAAAACTCAAATTATAGATGAAACAATCATCTGATCCATTCAAAAAGCTATTTTCAAAAAGCCATGGGGTGTGAGGGTCCCAAAAATAGCCTTGCCTCCTCAAAAACTCCAGATCTGAGGTTGGGCATCATTATTGGGCATCAATTGATACCTGTCAAAAATACAAAGGGCTTTTGAAATTGAAAGCTTGAGGAATGATCCGTATAAAAAGGGTCTGTACATTCAAATGTATTAATTTCATGCCTTGCTCTGATCTGCTCAAAAAACAAAACTTTGAATGTCTTGGATTATAAGATCAATTCAATTAAACTTGTTATTGATTCCTGGATGTTTATTGGGTTTTTGAAAGAATTGTCAATTGAGATTTCTTTTGGAATTCCCAATGTACAATATGTTCCTTCATGTTTGACTTGGAATCACCATAGTTTGGTTTGTTTTGAGGAAGCATAAAAGGGTATTGATAAATAATCATTTTAATACTTTCTAGATAAATACAGCAATGTTTCATTTATGAACAAGTTGATCTTGATTTTGATTGCAATAAGTCTCAATTGACGTAATTCTAGCATAAGATCCTAGATCCAAAGACTGTTTCTTCAAGAAAAAAGTGGAAAGAATCCATAGTTATTACATTACTTATCACCTTGAATTTTAATTGTTTTTGATGATCTGGAGACTTACTCTTTACTTTGATCTGATGACTCAATGACATTGTCAATCAGAAGCCGTCTGGAATTGTCTCTAGCATTGTCTGGATTGTTTCTATGCCGTTTTGGTGGGGATTGGTGAGAGTTAAGTATCTGGACAGGGCAATACAGGGTTTGGGATTTGGGATTTGAGGTTTCACCCTCCTCTCTTTTCCATCGTAATATGGTGGCTCTTACAAAGTGCCACTTGAGTCACATTGCTCAAAACCACAAAATTGACATTCTTGATGCCAGAAAAGCCCGGCTGAGCAAGTGCCAACCCATGATAATGTCTAGACCCATGGCAATCTTCCATTTTATGGGATTTTGACAACATTTTCTTTCTTTCATAAACCTAAAAACCCATCTACATCCTATTGCACTGTCCATCCTGATCTGTCTGATTCTATCAACATTATTTCATTGTTATGATCTCCTATCAGCCTTTATCATCATCTTGAATTTACATTTCATGACAGTCAAGCATTGTTCTCTTCTTAGCTCACGTCGATGATCTGGAGAAGATATGGCCAAACAGGGTCCGCCAGGGCCGGCACTTGTGCAATGGCGCTGTTCTCAAGGCCAGGAATGACATTCTTCACAATTCTGACAATGCGACTCAGGTCACACTTCAGAGCCACCGTAACTCTGCCAGAAAACAACAAGCTTTTGCTCGGTGATTCGGCATGTTGCTGCGTCTGCCAGTCAAGCATGATACTAGATGCAAAAACGGCAAAGGAAATATGCGCTTTTCGTCTGAAGCTCATACAGCTGAAGTCAGGTATAATCTGAGTAGGTTGATGTCCTGGCCGCGGCGAAACAATGAAATAGTAAAGCTTGATTGGTCGCACACTGTCCATTGACTTTGCTTTCCAGCAAAATGATTCTCGAATGCTGAGTAATTCACGTATATCATGGCCTCATCATCCAGTCATTTGTCCCTCAGTAAGCTCCAATTCCTTGGCGTTGGACTTGCAGGCAGGAGTCTGTCATATCATGTAATGCAACAGAGACACAAGGTAATCAGCAGCGGATCGTGAGATTAGAAATGTGAACCGAGAAATAAAAAAGATGATGGCTGGCTGCCCTGAATATTGACGCTCGATGCCTTCGAAGCAAAACAGCAAAACCCCATGTGCCTGTGAGGGTTCTATCCTGCGAATAAAGGTTAGTCTACATTGTCACAAATGTTTATGGACGATAGCTGGGATATCCTGGGGAGATATAAAGTGCCCTTTCCTTCGACTTGATGTAAGCAATCATCCATCCTCAGCTTTCTTTATAAATTCTTCCAAACACAAAGGATATACCACTTTGATTTACTATTTCCTTAAAAACACCACCCACATTCATCATGCCTAGTTTCTTCTCCAAATCCGCTGAGTCCTCCTCACCATCTCAGCCCTACTTCCTCATCCATCTTCTCTCACTGGCATCTCAAATTTTCATAAACATCACGATTGCCATCACCTCATCCACCAAAATCAGACCGATCATCTTCTCTGATTTTAATATTGCCTACTATCAGGCTGAATCTCTCACCTCCAAGGCCCAAGTCTCAGCGATGAAGTCGTTTGATGTCACCCTCCGCCAGATCTTCAACCCGAGATCCACTCAACTCAACTTTCCCCTCAATGTACGTCGCTTTCACTTGTGTCTTCGTCTCTTGAGCTCTTACTGATCCTTTTCGTATGCAATCCTTTTTTACTTTAGCCCCTTTGGCTTTCTCAACTTCGGTTATCAACCGACCCGCTGGCCAAACACCTTTTCTCAATTCTCCAACCGGCCGTTTACTTGGTCCTCAACCACTTCCGATTTTTTTCTCCTCCCAACAATCTCTTCCCTCGAGCTTGCTTTGCATCTGTTCAACAGTATGCAAGGGCTTGTTATCATCGTCTGTTCACAATGGCCCGAATCCAGGTAAATAATTCACATTCACATTATAATTCATTCTCTTTTCAATCTCAAGAACAATGCTCATCAACTGTTTCTTCATAAATTCAATCAATTCAATAGGCGCTTATCCGATCTTCTCGCTCTCTCAAAGCCATCCGCACCTCAACAAGTTACCGGGCTTCGAGATTAGCCGAGTCATCGGACGTGAAAATTCAGCACGATCACAACCTACCAATCGGCTGCAATTTATCCCAATCGACTCTCTTTCGGCCATTCAAGATGCCATCACCGATCTTTATCAGAAGGTCCTGCCCACCTTCTGATTCTTACCTACGAAGCCTTAACGATCACGCCGAGTCTCGAAACCTTCAACTCCGTCACACTGACCCGGACGACTTTCTTGATCAACCAAACCGGGATCGAAGATCTTACCTCGTGAAAGCATTCAGGCAGCGGATTGCACGTCACGCAAAGATACTCGTGGTTGACGATGAGGATGATCTTGGACCTATCGACCCGAGTTGGCTTTGAAGGCTCCTTTTCTTTCGTTGCGCATCTTCTTGGGCCTTGTAATTAATCTCTTCCTTGTTTACCTCCTTTTCCTCTTGATTTGTCTACGTTGAGTACATTAGTAGATTTTTTAATGGTTTTCTATGTTGCGTTATGATCCTTTTTGATTTTTTGTTGCTTGGTTATGTACAACTGTTTGTCTTTTGTAGTCCACATTCCTCACAGTCTCAGATTCATTTAATAAGATGAAAGAATCTAAACAAGGCTGCTTGGATATCCTTGTCCTTTTGCATTCCACTTACATGGTCCTCTTACAAGAACATGTTGAGCCGCAAACTTAACATAAGTTTGGTTGAGCCGTACATTACCCATGTGATGATGAAGAAAGACTTGAAAGTCACGCGGTATTGGGATAATCTGTATTCTGCATGTTGGTCTATGTATAATATGCTTCGAGCGAGGGTCAGCCGGCCAAATTACAACAGTCACCAACACCGACTTGACTCTGCCAGTCCCACATACCTTCACTTTGACTTTGACCATCATCATTCACTTCACCCTACTTCACCATCAGCTTTCCAATTATCCGAAACATATACGTCAAGGAAAGAGATACCCCAATGTATTTCCTCAAAGAAGTTGGACTTCCAACATTTCAATCTTTGACTGAGTCAAAAATACATATCACGAGATATGATCAACAACACTTGAAATTACATGCAATGCTGTGATGGCCACTTTCATGCATCCTGTTTAATCATCATGTTTGCTTGATGGTCGTGACGTAAGTTTTGCATTTGGAGATAACTGAGCTAGGATTCTTGGTGACGAGAGAAAAGACAAAGAGGCTGAAGAAGATATCGAGCGTAGATCAAGAAAGAAAGAATCGAAGAAGGAAGGTACTGTTTCTGATAGACACCTCAGACGATTATCTTGGGATAGCTTTATTGTAAGAAGTTTGAAAAGAAAATGTGCTCTCAATTAGCAACTTGATCAAGTTTAGTTTCCTTGACTGACAAATGAATCAAACGGCACAAGGGGTATTCTAAGAGGAATGCAAATTATGTCCAGGGTACTATGTAGTCACCTACAGTACTGTGAGTTTTGTGAACCTGATTACTCCACGGGCTGGGTATGATCATTGATGTCAAGGAGTCATTGCTTGTACGTCGATTCGTCTTGAACCGAAAGTCATGTGATACGCAAAAAGCAGATAAGGAAAGATTGAAAGTGATGCACGGAAGTAATCGAAACGCTATGTGCAGATAGGCTGATAGGATATTTCAAGCTTGGAAGAAATCAAAAAGCGATCTGGGAAAGATAAAGTTCAAGGGCGCGAGGGCTAGAGCAGTGAGAAGGGCAGATGTATGAAGTAGAGAATGTCCAATAAGCGTGTTATTTCATCAAGGCAAATAGCTTTCAATTAAACAAGTAATCATAAGTATGGGTCATCAAGTTCATTGTACAAATTGTAAACAGCTGCACATTCGAGCGAAAACAACGGAAAAGGTGTCCTGAGCGAACTCAGAGGTTGTCAGCTGTGTAAGAGGAAAAAGGTGCTGGATGATGATTGCAAAGCAAATGAGCTCACCAGCTTAGAGCGAGAGTATATCAAGGTCTAGGAGACCGTCAGATTTCTTGTGGTCACCTGAACTCAAAAGCGATCGACGGTAGGCATCTGCAAGAAAAAGTGTAAGCCGACGATAGAAAGAATAACGAAGATTTGTGATACATGTAAATGTAACTTACGGGTGCCACCGTTGGCATCAAGCTTGGCACCAATGTGGGCATCCACTGCGGCACAAACCTTGGCATCGACACAGGCGTCGACAGCAACTGCGATCTTGGCATCGACATCAGCTTGAACAGCAGCGCTGACGTGGGCGCCGACATGGACAGCGGCATCGGCTTTGACAGCAGCGAGGATCTTGGCCTGAACATCGGCGTCAATGAGAGCAGTGACCTTGGCGTTGACCTTGGCTTTGACGTCGTCGTCAATGTCGGCGTTGACACCGGCAGATACCAAGGCTGCCACTTTGGCATCAACAGTAGCACGGACGGCCACAGCTACCTTGGCAGCGATATCAGCTCTAACAGCAGCAGCAACCTGGGCGCTGACTCCAACTTGAGCTTTAATGATGGCATCGACTTCTGCAGTGATTTGAGCAGTTACGGAGGCGGAGACGGAGGCGATGACATTGACGTCGGCGGAGACAGCTAAACAAAGAAATGGATGGGAAGAGGGAACGCAGAAACAAAGGTTTATCAGGCAGATTGTAAAGAACGAGCAAAAGACGTAGCCACTTACAGACATCTGCGCTGACACCAATCAAGTTTCCTAGACCAATCTGAGCATTGACATGCGCTCTGATGGCAGCAGCCACTTTAGCATCAACACAAGCTTTAACAGCAAGTGCGACCTTAGCATCAACTGCAGCTTGAACAGCGGCGGTGATGTGACCGCCGACGTGAGCAGCAACATCGGCTTTGACGGCAGCGAGGACCTTAGCGTGAACATCGGCTGTGAGAATGGCGATAACCTTGGCATCGACGTCGGCCTTGACATCGACATTGACAAGGTCACCAACACCAGCGTGAACGGTAGCAGCTACCTTGGCGGTAACAGCGGCCTTCACAGCAACGGCGATCTTAGCATCGATATCAGCTCGTACCGCGGCTGCTACTTTGGCATCAACGTTGGCGTTGACAATGGCGTTGATCTTAGCGGTGACATCGGCTTCAACAGTTGCGGCGACCTTGGCAACAACGTCTGCGCTGACGCTGACACCTGTACCATGATTGGAACCACCGAGGAGGCCTGAAGATAACAAATGCGTCCAGGGCGAGATGACATGAGTATCAATTAATTCCGGTTATGGAATTGTGTTAAATTTTGACTTACCGGAGGTAGGTAACAGACCTGTAGGTTGAGTAGATTTACCAACATAAGTAGAGGGCACCGGGCTAGTGTAACGATTTGTGCAAAGTTGGAATCGATGAACATCGTCAGCACCAATGTGGTCAGGTCATAGGACGGGGAAAAATTACCTAGGAGAAGGAAGGGCACCAGCAACTGTAAAGAATGAAGAAAATCTTGAAATCAGAAGACTGTCAACGCCAAGCCAATAGTCAGGTGACTACTTACGAGCAGCGAGAGCAATGACGACGGCGACGGAAAGTTGCATGATGATGATGTTAAGTAGGCTTATGAGTTAGAGAATGTACGTTTGCAAGGATATACTACTAATGATAGTAAAAAAGTGCTGTTGATGTAAAAAGATAAAATGTAGATAAATTAGGATGAAAAAATAAAAAGACTGGAAAACTGATGAGTAGATGAGCGGATGAGGGTGAAAGGGAGCCTCAGAGTCGAGAAGTGTTTATATACCTAGCCATCGATGATTAGATGACTGCGATTTTTCTTACCTAGAATCGAAAGATCAGCACGACTCGAATTCCTCGGTGTTTCGTCTGATCAATCATCATCGGATGAATTGAACCGAGCACAATCCAAGAATTCACAGTGAATTAACTCTTTTGCGAACATTGGCTCAGAGATCAAATTCAGTTTATTAAATTAATGAGATTTTTGTTGATGCGGGTGAGTTTTTGGAGGCTTTGAAGTTGAGATTTTCCCAAGTCGGTTCGTAGACTCTTTCTTTGATTTCTTTACCTCGCGTAAAAGCGAAAATTGTATTGAGAAGTAGGTGTGTTTGACCAAGGATTTCCCAAAATAAAGGTATGCTTTGGTATGGACTTTGGAAAGATGACGGGTTTTGAGGTTGGGTTTAATGAATGGCTTGAGACTCTGAGTATTGGAGACGTTATACATGTCTGTGGTAGGATATACGTCAATTTCTCGTATTATCGCTGAATGTGTGAGAAGTGTATGAGGAATGTTCAAATCGCTTATAAATTCCTCATAAGCGGTTCAACTGTTCAAAAGCTTTTGAAAACCACCCTAAACCACCCCATCTTGAGGAGTTGCAATTAGCCCCAGATTTGATAAGGATGCAGACCTGGGGACACCCTTCCTTCACTAGGAGGACACCCCCTGCCTGTTTCAAAGCTACGTACAACATCAAATAACTAAAATGTCAAAGATGAAGATATTCGCTCCAATCGTCTTTAGCTCTGCTGAGCTACCTTTGGGCTACGAAGCTGATCTCTTGGAAACTCCCTAGTGGGCTACCATGTCATATGCGCTTATTCTGAAATCATCCATCGTGATTAATCATCCTGTTGGCTTGAAAACTGCAAGCTCTGAGCACCGATGTTGTCTTCAAACACAACTGAGTGAGGATTTTGGTGAAGAAATCAAAGACAGAGACAAAGGCTTGAGAAAATAGCAAATCGATATTAGACAAGAAAAGACCGAGGGTAAATTATACCTGTCATCATAAACATCTTTTACCCTATTATCTTGAAGTGAAATTATCTCAACAATATTAAAGAGGAAATCCACACTCGGTTGCGATTTGTAACAGTATAATTTGGTAGGCTGGTGAGTTTTACGATTGTGGAATTGCACAGAAGATACTCCAGAAAGGATGGGATTGAGATTGACAGTGCAGGTCACGTGGTAAGAGCTTGGGAGCTTGATCACCCCGCGAGCTGGCAGTGATGGTCAAAGAATAAGCTAACGGATGCCTACGGATGCCCAAAGGTTGACCAATTTCTTTTCATTTGCCAGACACACGAAAGACACCGGACAAGCTCGAACACAATCTTCAAGAACGCACCGCCAAATTATTAGATGAACCTATACTCTCATACATTCACAGCTTCAAACTTATTGTCAAATTCTGCGACTCCACTTGGAGATTTGCTACCCGCTGGACCTGGGCAAAAGCTGCAGATGAACCTCACCCTTTAAACACACATTATTCATTGGAATGATCAACACTCCTGCTCCCTACTTCATCGCCCTTAAAAGCATTATCATATTATAAAACGGATCCCACTAAATCTAGCCAGCTTAAGGGATATCCGGCGCCCGCCCTGTTTGGGGTAATACCCGATAGTACCCGACAAAAATCCCACATGTTGGCTGAGTTCGGACCTTAGAGGGCTCCACACGGGCTATTTACATGGGCGTTGTCACATCCCACAGCCTCTTGATGTCATTCCTTGACTCAGAAGGGGCGATCAATCAAATTAAAACAAATAAATGTTTGTCTCAGGGGCTGCTAAACCACTGGCTCCCGGACCGATGTGGTGATCTATTTATGATATTAAGCAAAAAAATTAATCATCTTTACTTTACCAGTTTATTAGCAAACTTCAATATAGCAGAGAATTCGAGATTCAGGTTTTCAGATCAATTGAAGCTCTTAGAGGCTTATGTATACTTATTAGCTCATTATTATGTCATCTTATTTCAAAATTATTATTAAGATCAACATAGTTTACTTACAAAGTTATTACAAAAAGACAGAAAAAGAAAAGATAAGAAAAATTCGAAAATATAGGTGTAAAAGTTGGAAAATGGTTTTTAGCTTATTTATAATTAAGTTATGGGTTTTATAAGGTTAGAATATGAAAGAACAACAGTTTATTATACAGGAACAATTTTAATATTCAAGGTTGATAAGGGGAAACAGAGGTTATTAGCAGAAAGGTACTTTTTCGAAGTTGGTAAACAAGGGTTAGGCGTGTAGTTTACATATGTAATGGTGGTAGTGATGGAATTTAAGGTTGCCAAGAGGATTTTGCGGGATTTTTAAGGTTATAGAAGATGATGTCATATTACATGAGCAAGGAAAAGGGAGTAGCAGCTGTGAAAAGTGAAGAAAATAGGTGAAAATCGTCGAAAATGGAGGTTTTCAGCTAATTACATATGTCAAATGACGTCAGAATAAGTTGGTAGATGGCTCATTCAACGCAGAAGAGTGGATTACATAATGTACAACCTTTGAATCATTAGTAACGGAGGTGTATGTAAAAAGTTATAAGGGAAATAAGAAATTGGTGTGAATCTCGAATTTACAGTCACAAGACACATGTAACACCAAAAACCTTAACTTCACAACTCAATATCTTACTCATCACTCATCAGAAGTAGGTCTTATAGGTGTCAGAAATGATCAGTAACACGTGGGCTACAAGATGCACTTTAGTAATCAAAAATTGGAGCACATCTGAAAAAATTCGTAATCTCAAAAATTGGGTTTCAGCTAGTTTACAAGGAAAAAATCACCTGTATTCATCTTAAGAAGTGCTGTACATTACATCATTGCGTCATTGATCACTTTTGGCTGTGAAAATTACATCATACATTAGTAACAAGATCATTACATTGCGTCATTACATGGTTTTTAGGGTTATTTAGGCGGATTTGATTGGTTTTTGAGGCTGTTGACTGTTTTAAAGATTGTTACATGTGGATATAAGTACTCCTTGATGATTTTGGGATTGTAGTGCCCTTTTCTGCATCTTATACCTTTGTTGTAGTGTTATAAATCATCATTTATTTACTATATTTGTACTAAGATCACTTAAATCCGCCCCTTCAAAATCAAGGAGAAATTTATTTACGTGTGTTAAAGACTACAAGTCTAATTGGGAATAATACTTACAACAGTATTGCTAGTAATAAACATAGTGTGTGACTTTTTTGCGCTTAAAATCTGGGAATAATACTTAACAACAGTATTGCTTTATTTCTCTGGTGCCTTTTATCCTTTTCTCTGTTATCAAAAAGTGGTCAGCAAGTGCCCTTGTGCTGGTTTCTTTGAAGAAGGCAGTCTTTAGGCAACTTCTACTATATTACACGTAGTAGATTATCCCTTCTTAGGTGTTGTAAAGCTCTTGTTGAGCTTTAAATACTACACCGAACAGCATAATCAGTATCACACAGGGCCAAATGGACATGGAGGGTGAAAGTAAAGTACATACCATCTCACTTCAACCTATAACACATCTCCTTCCAAGGTTAACTTCACCCTTTTCCCTCCTTTCCCCTTGCCTGCTTAATCACCTTTCCCGCTCACACACTACCTTCAACCTTACTCGTTTTCACCATTCAATCCCAATCCTCACAACCCCTTAACCCTCAGCATATGACAAACCCTCCGCATGATACATCTACCTCCCATACATCTACAAAAGTAATCCCCACCCTTGTACAAATTGCATCTGATACTTCATTCATCCCCACCCAAACAGTAAAACTTTGGCAGATCCAAAAGCCTAGTCATGCCCACCCAAACTACCCCACATACATTTGGCAAAGTTATACAGTTGTCAAGCATTTCAGATCAGAATCCACCTCCTCCAATTCATGATCAAAATTACCCATCTTTTCCATACAACACTCACCCTCACCCTCCTCATAACCACTTTAACAACCAGCCAGTTACTGGTACCCACCTCCTGGATCCAATCATGGGCATTGATGCGCTTACCCTTACCACTGCAAATGAACAAGATGGCAACTGGCCCCTAATCGGTAAGCTTTTTAATTCTAACTCCACCTTTCACTGATTGAACGCAGGCTTACAAACATCTTATTTCAAACATCTTACCCCAATAGGTGCTCAACCTATACGCTTACTTGGAGGAATAAAAGCTGGGAAATGGTTTCTACAGATGGACAATGGCATCATGTACATGAATGTGGTTGCCCACCATCAAGGCTACGCACTGGCCATCAAGAGCCACAAGACCAAACACCAGACCACCATCAGGATCTATCTTCGATGTTCATTAGGTGATAGACACATATCAACTGCCAAGGTTTGATCCTGTTGAATTGTGCAATTGACCAAAGAAGAAACAGAGAAACGAAAAGATTAGAGAGAGTGTGAAAAGAAATGGAGATTTAATTAGATAAACCATTGAGGAAATTACTACAGCATATTTACCCCAATCAAATAAATTAAACTATTGATACTTATAAATCATCTCATCGATCAAATCGTACTTCTCTTTCCTCATCTTTGGAAAGAGAAGTACGTACAATTTCAATTTTTCATTCTCTTATATTAATGTTTCTATTTCTGATGTTATGTTATGTTTCAATCAATATATAGTTCATTATCTCTTTTAGTTCCCAGAGATCAGTTATTGAATCATAGATAACTTAAACTAACAAAACATCTGTACCAACATCCAGGTACATTTTATAAAGTTTCTTTTCATTTGTTATCATTTCTAATTTACATTGTGATTGTTATAGGTCAGAACTATTCTTTATTAGATATCGTGTAGGAGTTGGTTCTCAACGTGCTATTGCGCATGCTCTTAGGTGAATAATA